TTAGCACTGCCAGGCGTGCCAACACCTCCACGCGACTCGCAAGATGAGCCCGGAGGTTTCAAACCAGACCCCGGAGCATGACAAGCCCTGGCCTGTCTGGGGCTGTCTGTGCTCTTGGTGACAGAAGAATTGCTCTGCTCTTTGTCTGTAGTCAAAAAACGAGGGAAAGCAAAGGGCCGGGGGGGACCCGGACTCTGACGGGGTTGGGCACTCGCCCGAAGCCCCGCACTTTGTCAGCAGCAGCGCTAGGCTGTTATCCTCTGGGAAACCACCCCTGCAGGGCAGTGCTGCCCAGCGTGCGCCTGCATCAGTGCAGATCATTTTCCACTCCTGCGCGGGATGAAATGCGCCCACACTTACCCCCCGCGGCCCCATGTCGTGCTGGATGCCCCCGCGTCACAGCTGCAGGAGCGAGCGGCTCTCAGCAGTGGCCGTTTGGGGACAAATCTCTGTCTCAGGAGTTGTTCTGAGCCCAGGGAAGGAGCCGCCTGACCCAGGAGGTGACTGCAGGGCAGACCCTTCCCTCCTGCCCCGCTCTGCCCCAGACCTGCTCTGTTTGCTGGGGAAGGGTGTCTGACCTGCAGCCTTCTTGCTTTCTTCCCCCAGCTCTGCCCAGAGCTCAGGAAAGGGGTGGAAAGGCTGGAGCGCATCCTGGAGACCATGCGAGGTGGGTGGCGCAGCAGCAGAGAGCCAGCGCGGCAGGGTGGGGGGAAGTCGGGACTTGGGGGCCAGGAGCCGGGACTGGTGTGACTCCGGATCAGCTGCTCCCTGCAGACACAGTGGCCCAAGCCCAGGGCTGCCCCGCTCTGCTCCGACCTGACTCCAGCCTCCCGGGGCAGGGGTTGGGCCTGGAAGTCATGGCAGGGGGGAGAGCCCTGCTAACCCCTTGCCCTAACCCCTTGCCACAGTCTCGGCTCAGATCGACCCCGTGGCCGAGCTTGACTACTCCCTGGTGCAGCGGCCCACCATCACCGCGCAGTACGGGGACGTGGACCTCAAGGTAAGGTCGCACCAGCGGCCGGACGTGGGGGCAGTCCCCCCTCCCCCCGTGTGCTGCTGCTCCTGGGGGGCTGAGAGCCCATAGTGCTGCCATCCCTCCAGGCTTGTGCCAGGGGCAGCGAAAAGCCGGGCTGCAGCAAGACCCAGCTCACGCGCTTCCCCGCCCCGCCAGGGCGAGGTCTACCGGGTGGGGGCCCCGCAGGAGAGCCCCTTCTCGCCCGGGCCCGTCCTGCTGCCCGGCTCGGAGGGCCGCATGCTGCTCCTCGCCGCCAGCCAGGCCCTGGCCAACTCGGCAGCATTCGTGTACTTCACCGCCGGGACCCTGCAGCGACGCATCACTGACAGCATGGTACAGCACCCTCCCCCGGGACCCCCAGCCCCGGGCGGTTCTGGTCTGGCAGGCAGCCTGGTAGAGCAGGGACCTTTTCCTCCCGGCTTGGGGAGCCGAGACCCCTGCGTGTCCTGACTGGGGAGGTGTCTTTGGGGGCAGTGAGGGACGCGCATGGCCTGCACCCAGCTGGGCTGTGCTGGAGCAGGGGGGTCCTGCCACCCCCGCAGGCTCCCTGCCATGATCCCCCAGTGACCCTGCACCCGGCATGTGCCTTTCAGATCCACAAGCGGTCCCCATTGAGGCTGAACACCATGAGCATGGGGGTGTTTGCCCCAAAGGTGAGTCCGCCTGGAGCTCCCCCCAGCCTGTGCCCCGCTCCTAGGTTTAGTACCACCCGACACAGGGGCAGGGATGGCTGCGGCTGTGTGCCGTGCACCTGGAGAGGTCTGGCTCCAGGCCCAGTGCCGGGGGTGCAATCCTATCCGTCCCACGGCCCAAGCCCTGCCTCTCCCCACGCAGCTGCTGGCCCACGTCCCTGCCCAGCCCATGGAGCTGCACCTCGCTGCCCGCAAGCAGCCGCTGCTGAGCTGCCGGCCTGGCGCCCTGGACCTGGCGCTGTTTGGCACTGCCCAAGCCT